GGTTAGCGGACGGAGGCCGCGTGTGGCGGGCCGGGCCCTGGGGCACAGTGAGGCTGCGGCAACAGAAGTTGCTTGTTGGGATTTGTTGTGGATGGACGTGGTGTAGTTTTGTTTATTTCTTGGATTTTCTCCCCTGGTCCAAGAGAAAACGCATTGTAAGCTAAACCTGTGAGGGCGTGATGGTGGCCACACTTTGATTAACTTACCTAGGTGTTGGGGAGCAGGAAAAAGTCAGAGGAGATAAAAGTTAAGAGGTGAGATTCCATGCGATTAAGGACTGTGGCAGCGTGGGTCTGCAGAGCTTCTAGAACCTTCTGTGTGGCCCCAAATGTTTTTAACTTACTCTTCTCCCGTCATACATTTTTAAGGGAGGCAGCAGTTTACAGTGGCCCTCCACGTGAAGTTAAGTTTCCTTGCTTCAGAACACTAAAAGAGCAAAAATGAATAAAACAAAACCAACCCAGCAATCCATTGAGACCAAAGATTAGAGAGGAGTGAGGGGTAGGCAGTAAGTTACCGGGTGCTTCGTGCAGTAAAGACGTTGCGGCTTCTCTTTATCCCCTGACCTGGCGGACGGGATTCCGCGGTTCCGTTTGTCTCTCAGTATTTATTGGGCACCTCCCTACATAGAAGACGAAGTGCTAGTCACTGGCCTCAAAGTATGAAAAGATAGTTTTCCCTTTTTCTTGCTTAAGATTTTATTAGGTAATATAGTAGTAGACTTGTACAGAATTTCTAAACAATATAATGTTAATAGATTTTTGGAAAGACTTTAACGGTATATTGAAAAGTTTTATCTACTTCCTGTGAACGTTTGTCTCAAGTTACTGTGTAAATTTTGTGAGCAACTGTAGTTAAAAGAAAACCTTGTTAGGCACCTGGAATTCCCTGAAACTGTACACAGGAGTTGGTTCCATAGTTTTCTCTAGGTTGTGCATGAGCAAAGAAGCATGTGAGCCAAAAAGTTCAGGAAACACTGCATGTGTGTTTTATCTCCCTCCATTAATACACCCAAACATGAAGTGTCCGTTTGCCGAGAAAATACTTCAATAACCACGGCATCTCTTTTAACAAGTAAGGCATTATTATTGTTACTATTGGGAGAAAAGAGCCAGAGAGTGAGAGATTCTCCACTCAAAATAATTTCTTGGATGGCAGCAGAGAAACCTAAGCCCTACACAAGGTTCTGGGGTTCCACTCAGAATGAGGCAAGTGGAAGAGAGAAATAATGCTTCCTCATGGATTTTCACAATACTAGCAAACCTGACCCGTTCCACTCCCAGAAAAAGTAAAGCGCAAGTAGAAATTGGTGGCCTCAGTTACTGGAAGTCCCTCTAACTGATGTTTCTTTTTAGGGAGCCGCATAACAAGTAACACACCTCTCTCCATGTCTTCAGAACGTTGAGGGCATGTTCTCAACCACTTCACTCGCTCTCCCCTAGTCAGAAAGAAAAGATTTTTTCCTAAAGGAATGGGGAGGATGTTACTCCACCCCGCCTTCCTTCAAGCTGAGTCATTGTCCTCAAACTTGAATTAATGCCTCACATGTGGTAGGTACAAAAGCCCTCTGAAGTGCTCCTCTTAAAAAGAAAGCCTCAGGTTTTGAATATTATTATATTCTAATGTTTGATTAATGTAAAATGAATTCTGATTACTGCACATCAGTGATTAAATTACAACTTGCTTAATTAACATTTGAGCTGAGGAGAAAAGTGATTAATATGTGGCTGTTCATTTCAAGGACTTTTTTTAGTAATTCTAGACTTTTGTAGGCCTTTTTTTTTCTTTTTAAAAAAGTAATACTAGCTGAAGAGGAAGGATTTCCTAAGGTAAGCAAAAATAGAGAAAAATGCTAACATTGATCCTATTAAAGAGTTTTTTTGAAACCACATGGGCAATGGCATAGAACACTACACTATTAAAAACTAGAATCATGCGTACAAAATTGATTTTTAAATGAAAACATGAAACTCATATGTAATTTTGCTCTAATAGTTTGATTTTATGTTAACTAATAAAGTAGTGTAACTGGGTAGAATAAAACCTTACCGTTTGTACTTAGAAGTGTGCACGTAATGTTCCCTAACCACATCATCCTGTCAATTGTGGAAGAAATTTCATACTTCATGACCTGGAGTATGAACTGATCTACATGATTAAAATGTTTGGCAGCAGTTCTACAAACTGTTAAAGGATTTCCATTTATCTCTAATGGAATTTATCAGTACACTAGCCCTTTTTTTAGACTGCATTTTGTCTTCTGTATTTCTTCCTTCTACAGAGGTGATTCCCTTTTCTCCCTGTTTTTATGATCAATTCTAAATGGAGTCTGAGTTTTGCATTCCTCAGTGGCTCAAACCATCTTGCTTATTGTTACTTTTTAACAATTATTGTAATTTATAAAAAATACTATATTACAATTTTATTTTTTTATATATATATATAAAATGTTTTCATCCACAGTTCCTGGCTCATAACTCCCATAACCCTTATGACAGTCTTACGTTATAATGTTGGGGTGCTTTAGGCCTCAGGAAAAAGAATCTCTGTCTGACCTTCTTTCGCCTGCCTTGTTTCTAGTCTGATTGTGGGTCAAAAGACCCTCATTCCAGAGAGGGTCCTGTCCCATGCCCTGGAGGAAGGAATTCAACACCCAGAGGCCAAGAAGAATCTGAATAGACTGGTCTTGTGTTAGAGTGAGAGCATACCCATTTTGTCCAGTCACATTTCTACGTGGTTATCATTCATGCTTATATAATGAAGCAAGCCTCCATAAGAACCCGAAAGGACAGGGTTTGGAGAGCTTCCAGATAGTTGGACATGTGGAGGCTCCTGGAAGGTGATGTGCCCAGGGACGGCATGGAAGCTTTGTGCCCCTTACTCCTTGTACCTCACGCTACACATCTCTTCATCCATGTCCTTTGTAATACCCTTTATAATAAACTGGTACATATAAGTAAGTGTTTCCCTGAATTTTGTGAGCTGCTCCAGCAAGTTAAACCCAAAGAGGGGGACATGGGAACCCCAATTTGAAGCCAGTTGGTCGGAAGTTCTGGAGGCCTAGACTTGCAGCGGTGGGGAGTGGGGTCTTGGGGACTGAGCCTTCAACTTGTGGGATCTGACACTGTCCAGGTGTAGATAGTACTGGAACTGAGTTGGAGGATACTTAGCTGCTGTCCACTGCTTGTTGGTGGGGAAAATCCCCCACATATTTGGTCACAGTAGTCTTCTGTGTTGTTACAGTGTGAGAACAGAGGAAAAACACAGTGTGAAAGTCTTTTCTAAAACACATGCTATTGTTTATTCATTTAATGTACATGGACTATATACCAGGCCCCATGTCTTTGTGGAAGTTACTGTTATCACCATTCTACAGATAGGGAAACTGACGCTTAGAAGCTTAAATGACTTGTCCAAAGTCACACAACTAGAAAGCAGTAAACTCCACATTTGAACCCAGGAAGCCTGGCTCTCCAGGCTCTAATACTTTATGCCTGAATTTTCTTAAATATGTCACATTTCAAAATGTAGGAATGATATATGGATGAATAGATGAGTTTCCTCAAAGAGATAAAAATTCAATCTAAATTGGCCTTAAATTCAGGGGCTACTGAACACCCACTATGTGCTAGGTATTGGGTAGCTCATAGAAAGCTCAAGATGGTAATGAAGATGTTTGGGGGATGGGTTTTGGAGACTGGCAGGGGGGAAAATCATAGGACTGGGAGATTGGGTTGTTATGTGTTTCCCAAAACTTATGACATAGTGGCTCCTTCTGCCTTCCTGTCATTCTTTCGTTGTGGCTTAACCTGCACCCAGGTAGTGAAGGGCTGGGGTCAGGGGTGATAGGGATCATTCGTCTGGCTTAAAGTTTCATGTTAGGGTGTGCCTGTGTTCCAGGAGTCACAAAACAAGATGGCATCATAGTTAATATTGTATAACAGCCTGTAATTTAAAAGAACGCTGAATATACGTTGTTATTTGAAACTTTAAAAACCCTTTGAGTTAGGTGGAGGGCACATGCTCTCTCTCCTAGAAATGAGGGAAGTGGGGTCCATAAGGATGAAGTGGCTTGCCTAAGGACATGCCACTGAAGAGTGGCTCTTCACACTAAAAACACTAGTCCCTTCTTTTACACCAAAATGTCTTGACAGTAAATGTAATTTAATATTTTGGCAATTAGGGAAACCCTTCAGAATTTTACATTGCCTAAAAGTGATCATTATAGCATTCTTTTGATATAGGAGTACGGAATAAGAGACAGAACTATGAGTTTAAGAACCTGTTTTAGCGGGCATGGTGGTTCACTCCTGTAATCCTAGCACTTTGAGAGGCCGAGGTGGGCAGATCACCTGGGGAGGTCAGGAGTTTGAGACCAGCCTGGCCAACATGGTAAAAACCATCTCTAATAAAAAATTCAAGAATTAGCCAGACATGGTAGTGCATGCCTGTAGTCCCAGCTACTTGGGAGGCTGAGGCAGGAGAATCACTTGAACCCCGGAGGTAGAGGTTGCAGTGAGCTGAGATCACACCACCGCACTCCAGCCTGGATGACCAAGCAAGACTCCATCTCAAAAGAAAAAACAAACCTGTTTTAGAAATTATTTCTTTCAAATCATGGTATGAGCATTTGCCATTTTCCCTCCTTTTTATGAAAGCACAAATTCTCATTAATAAATAAGCCCACATTCATAATGGTAAGAATATAATAGCTATTATTACTATAAATACATGCCAGTGCCAATTCTAGACACATTATACATATTAACTTGTGTGTGTGTGTAATTTTTTTAGTCAGTACTATCAGTCAGTTACACTCTACCTGCTTTACTTCATTTAGTCACAAGCACTGTTTCCTTATTATCCCTGTTTCATAGGCGACTGACCCCTTTGCACAGCTAGTAGTGGCACTGCTGGCGCAGTTATCACTGCATACTGTATTAGCTGACATATTAATAGTAGCCACAGTTTAGGCAAAATTGCTGTTGTACTCCCCTAAGTCTCCCAGCAGTTTGCCGTTTTGATACTGAGGCTGCAGAGGTTTGTGAGGTGCCCAAGACCTGGGGGCTAGCTGAGGATGCATGCGCTCCGGTTTTGTCTTCCTATTGAGTACTCTAAAATGTCTTTTTGTCAAAGCCTGCTTAGTTGTGATTTCATGCAGAGAGTTTTACAGGAGCACAGCCCAGGCCAGCCTTGATGTGAGGAAAAGTTCTTTCCCAATTTGGACGTGTAGCTGCTTCCAGGATCTGTTAGTAAAAACAGAACTGCCCCTCTCCGCCAAGAAAAGTGTTGTCAGATGAGATATTAAGAAACATGAAGGATAAAGTGAGATGGTCCAACATTTCTCTAACCAGAGTTCCAGAAGAAAATAATAGAATGGGAGACAGGGAATATTCAAAGATACAACGGCCAAGAATTTTCTAGAACTAATGGAAAAATTGTAGACAAAAGACATGTATATGAGTTTAAGGATAGCAATAGCTGATGAACAATACAAACATTACTTAAATTAAGTAGAGCTCTAGGTTCAGCTTTTTAAAAGAAAAAATGTAAAATATGAGGTAGTCCAGAGAGTAAATGGATGTACCAGGGCCAAAGGGAGCATGAATTGCCTTAAGGGAGGGGATAGGGGAAGCTAAGGAAACAATTCCTGCCAAAGCGATTGGGTTTTGAAAAGGAATCACCCAGTAGACAAGGGTCAGGGAGAAAGAATGCTACCTGAAGAGGGAATCGGACATGAAAAGCCCATGTTGCCAAATAAACCCTGAGATCTTTACATTCTGGGAATGACATTTTACCTTTGCATGAAATGAAAAAAGTATACATAAAAATGTATATAAGAAGGTCTATAAATGATAAAATCTGGTTTTCACAGGGATAATGCCCTGGTAATTTCTATTATGTATTTTAAAAAGCCTTGTGGGGTTGGGGGGGGTCCCAAAAACACAAAATTTAGCAGTTCCATCTAATTATTTGGTGTCATTTAATGATAAAATATTTTTTCATATGAATGATAGGCTTATTATTTTTTTCTAGAATGTCTTTTTTTATCTATTTTGTTAAGAACATGAACTTATTGCTGTAACTCGTAAATGAAACCTTCCTTTTCAGAATAGTGTTGTTCTCTCTTATCATCTTACAATTGAATACCAGCCGAAAAAGTGTTGAAAAATTAATCTCTTCTTTCAGCATCTTCTCATTTACCAATCACATGATTCACCTGTGTCATTTGTCTAAATATTGGAGTCATGGTTTGTGCTTTTAGCATAAATATTTAGTGCCAACTCAGTCTCTTTCCTATGTTCTGGGCCCTAGTTTATCTTTCTGAGAGATTGCTAATGTAAAATGTTTAAGTAAATAGTGAATGGTCCTGGAATAGGGCCTGATACTTGCATTACTGTTACTTTGTAGAATATTGTATTTTGATTGTGTTCTCTAGCCAAATTTGTCACATGAGATTCTTCCCAGTTCTTTGCTTTTAGTGGGTCTTATAAACACAGACTTTGACATATATTTAATATCTTGAAGAATAAAGATATCCTGTGATGTTACAGCCTGTCAGTACTATTTTGGGGTATAACAGGTGGGTAACCGAAGGGGAAAAGGCACGTGTGTGCTTGGGGTAGGGGGAAGATCCTTTTATGGAATTGAACATGCTAAAACATTGGTGAAGTTGTTCTTTCTGTGCACACTTAAGACAGCAGTTAGGATTAGATCTCTCATGAACTTCTAAGACCATCCAAATACTGGGAATAGGTCTGTCACTATTTCATTTTGCAAAAGTTGGCAACTTACTGTAATTCATAATAATAAGGTACCCTGGAAGTATACAACATGTTAAATATACAATATGTATATTTTTATTTTGCTCTCATGATTCCACAGCTTAGTTTTTTAGTGACTGGGCACATTCATGTGTATGTATAGTGTGAGTGCATGTGTGTGCAGTTGAGTGAAGTGGGGAAAGTAGCGCTTCTATAGTTTGATGAGGGTTTTAAACAAAAAAGCCACAGAGACTTTCCCTTAAATTTGGGAAAAGACAAAGATACCCCCATCATTGCCACTGTTTAATACAGTACTGAAGGACCTTTTCTTAAAAAAAAAAAAAGTAATAGAAAAGTAATAGGATTGGGAAGGAGGAAATAAAAACTATGGATGATATGGATATGATCATTTACCTAGAAGAACCAACAGAATCAACAGACTGAACACTAAAATGAATACATGTAAATCAAGGTTGCCAGTGACAAGATAAACCTACAAAGACAACATTTCTCAAACCAGTAAAAATCAACTAGAAAATACAAATTCACAAGAGCAACAATATCTACAAAGACTACTATGAAGAATACATGAGAACTCTATAGAAGATCTGAATAAATGAAGAGACATATATCATGCCCTTAAACAGAATGACATTTTAAAGATGTCGAATTTCTCTCATTTTTTGAGAAACACAATAAACGTACCCTAGAATTTATATGGAGAAGTAAAAGTCCATAAATAGCTAAGTTATCTTTAAAGAAGATTGAGGGGCATGTTCTATCAAATATTAAAGTATAGTACAAGGCTAGTGCTATAAACAAACAAAACAAAACTGGGCACTAGTATAACAACAGTTAAATACACTAATGCATGGGATAGAGGTTTTAGAGAGAAACTTAATATGCATTCGCTAGGGGAAAGATGGATTGTTTGGTAAATAATGTTGGGGAAAATGGCTATTTGGAAAAAAAACAACATTCTTAACTAACTACATACAAGGGTTGATTCTAGGTGGATTAAAGACATAAGGAAGGTAGAACTATAAAGTTAATAAGAGAAAATATAGGAAAATATGACCAAGGGGTAGGGGGAAGACCTTAGGTCAAAACTTCAAAAGCATAAGCTATAAGGCAAAAAAAAAAAAAAAAAAAAAGATGAATTGGATCACATCAAAATAAGAGTCTCTCTTTAGTGCCAGACATCCCAGACGTGGTTCATATAAGAGGGGATGAGAGATGGTTGCAATGTCTGTAACCAACAAGAATTTCTTGAGTATACAAATCAGCAAGGGGACAGTAACTCCTGTTTAAAAATAGAAAAACAAAATAGGAAAAGTCTATGAATAGGCTAACAAGGATACAAAGAGATGTCTGAAATTATTAGGAAAACGCAGGTTAACCTGACATACCAGTGTATTTCTACTACACTGGCAGCAAACAGAAAGTTGGAAAATGCGGAGTGTTGGTAGGGATATGGGGACTCCTGTGCTTTGCTGTGGAGAATGGACAGGTACAGGTATTCTGCAGAATAATCATAGTACTAAGTCAAAAGTGGAGTACACATACCCTTTGTCTCAGCAATTCTGTCCTGGTATATGTCCTAAGGAAATCCTCACCAAGATCCAAAGGGGAGATGTATTCATAGAAGTGTTATTTGTAGTAATAAGAAGTTGGTAGACAACCTGAGTGTCCATCTCTGGGAGAGTGGAGAAGGAAAAGCAGGTAGGTATACACATGGAGTATTATAAAATATGTAGCACCAACTGATTAGAAGTACACATAGGGGGCTGGGTGTGATGGCTCACACCTGTAATTCCAGCATTTTGGGAGGCTGCGGTGGGCAGATCACTTGAGGCCAGCAGTTTGAGACCAGCCTGGCCAACATGGCGAAACCCCGTCTCTACTAAAATTACAAAAATTAGCTGGGCCCGGAGGCTGAGGCATGAGAATCAGTTGAACACGGGAGGTAGAAGTTGCAGTGAGATCGTGCCACTGTGCTCCAGCCTGGGGGACAAAGCAAGACTGTCTCCAAAAAAAAAAAAAAAAGTACATATAGGATCCTGGATGCTAAGTGAAAAAATAAACACAGAATGAGATATAAATTCAAAATATACAAATAATACAGATCTTGTAAAAACAAATACTATTAATTAGATAAACACTAAATAGAATTGCCTCATGAGCTGGAAGGAAAATAGGAGAAAGGCAAGTGGATAAAAAATAGAAAAATGAAAAAATTTTAAAGCAGAAATGAAGAAGTTTTGAAAAGTTTGGTGATCTTTAAACTTGATTTGGGTTGAATGAGAGATAAAATTAATAGGAAGAACATCCTGCATACAATAACCGTTTTGTTTTCCCAATTTCTATAGGGTTGAAGCTTTGAGAGAAGCAGCAACTGCTGTTGAGCAAGAGAAAGAAATCCTTCTGGAAATGATCCACAGTATCCAAAATAGCCAGGACATGAGGCAGATCAGTGACGGTGAGAGCCATCTCCACAGAAGGGGCTCGTCTTTTACACTCCTTTAAAGAGTTTATGATAAGTGTGGGTCAATTTTTGCTTGACTTTCGGTATGTGTATACTAGGCCACAGCATTTAATGTGAGCCACAGAGAGCAGCTGCAGCTGTCAGTTTATTATAGCAGCCACTTACTCAGAGATTTCTTCCAGCATGCTCTCTATCCCAAGCCATGGCTGGGAGAGATAGGAAAAAGCCTGCAAGCTCAGAAGAGCTGGCCCCAAGCAGTAAGGCCATGTGTTTTATCCCAGGTTCACACTCCTAACTTCAGTTCTTCACAAGTTACTGGACTGCAAGAGATTAAAAAACACAGAGGAAAAAGGGTGAGAATGGAAGCAGAGAAGTAGAGACCAAAAAAGAAAAAAAAGATGAATTGAGGTACAACATAGAGGGACAAAATGCAGAGAAAATGAGGAAACTTGTAGGACCAGTAAAAGGCATGAATGTAAAAATGTGCTGTCATTTTCTTTTTTCTTTTTATGAGATGGAGTTTCACTCGTCACCCAGGCTGGAGTGCAGTGGCGCGACCTTGGCTCACTGCAACCTCCGCCTCCCGGGTTCAAGTGATTCTCCTGCCTCAGTCTCCTGAGTAGCTGGGATTATAGGCGCCTGCCACCACGCCTGGCTAATTTTTGTATTTTTAGTAAAGACAGGGTTTCACCATGTTGGCCAAGCTGGTCTCGAACTCATGACCTCAGGTGATTTTGCCTGCCTCGGCCTCCCAAAGTGCTGGGATTACAGGCATGTGACATCACGCCTAGCCTGTGCTGTCATTTTCATGTGAAGAACATGTAATAGGTAGGAATAGGTCACTTGTGATTTTCTTTTTATCGGCACTGGACTTCCTACTTGGGCTCCTTTGGTGCCACACAGGCCACATGTTACTGGGCCAAGTGACTGGTGAGATAAGTAAGCAATCTAAATCCAGATCAAAACTGTTACACATCTATGGTAGGCCATGATCTAGTCTCTACACTGTCCTGCCCAAAGATCAATGAATTAGGAAGTTACAGAAGCAGGAGATTGCTGACTTTTTCATATAAATAATGAAATGTTGATAGAGCTCCTCATGCCAGTCAAGACTTTAGACCACTGTCCTGTTTCTATCTGGAGAAGCATGAAGTCAGTGCCTAGTATTGATGCCAGCTTATCTTCTATCATGGCTATATTTTCTCAACCAAAATTTGGGGCAGTGTATTCTGATAAATGCACATGTCGTTATGGAGAGATCTGGGACATCTGATCTCTGGAGCTGTACCCAGCATAAATCTTATATGTGCTTACTGCTCAAAGTGTTAAGACTTGATCTCCATCCCAGTTACAAATGCATACCTACCCAAACTTTTGCAAACATGCCAATTTGAGAAGTCATCTAGTATCCCATATATAAAGATTGTCAGGAAATGGTATTCTACAACCTCTGTCTGTAATCTAATACATTTCATCAGTTAATCTTACATGCTATAATTTTAGCTTGTATCTTTAAAAAAATTTCATAGCAGAGATACTTAAATAATAAATTTAGTCACAAACAAATGCCTTAATGTTCTTGACACAGATAAGTTTATGTCTCATATTGATTGATATTTTAGGAGAAAGAGAAGAATTAAATCTGACTGCAAACCGTTTGATGGGAAGAACTCTCACCGTTGAAGTGTCAGTAGAAACAATTAGAAACCCCCAGCAGCAAGAATCCCTAAAGCATGCCACAAGGATTATTGATGAGGTGGTCAATAAGTTTCTGGATGATTTGGGAAATGCCAAGAGTCATTTAATGTCGCTCTACAGTGCATGTTCATCCGAGGTGCCACATGGGCCGGTTGATCAGAAGTTTCAATCCATAGTAATTGGCTGTGCTCTTGAAGATCAGAAGAAAATTAAGAGAAGATTAGAGACTCTGCTTAGAAATATTGAAAACTCTGACAAGGCCATCAAGCTATTAGAGCATTCTAAAGGAGCTGGTACCAAAACTCTGCAACAAAATGCTGAAAGCAAATTCAATTAGTCTTCAAACCCAACAGCATTTACACAATACACATGGTGTAAAAATGATAAAATATTATTTTAATTGATAACTAGTTCTTTATGTTAGATATAACCACTTAGTTGATACTGACAGTTGTTTCAGATGAGGAAAATATTCCATCAAGTATCTTCAGTTTTGTGAATAACAAAACTAGCAATATTTTAATTATCTACCTAGAGATTTTTTAGATTGAATTCTCGTCTTGTACTAGGATCTAGCATATTTCACTATTCTGTGGATGAATACAGTTTGTGGGGGAAAACAAGTGTTCAGCTAGGGGCAAAAGCATCAGTGCTTTTTCCTGTGCTTTGGCGTGGAATCACGCAGTCACCTTGGGCATTTAGTTGACTAGAAATTCTTTACCTTAAGCAGCACACACATTTACTACACACACAGTGTTAACAAAGCACTGTGCTTAGAGGGATAAAAAGGAATCACAAAACAAGAATCTTTCCAAAGTTGTCTCATTCCGCAATGTTAAGGCATCTATATCAAATTATTTTGGATGTAAAGATTCCTGTGTCTCATAATATGAATGTATTTTTTGATATACAAGAAACTATGACATAAAATGTGAGAAAACCACCTATAATTTGCCACTGTGAACAATTATATATCTGCTTCATCTTTTCTCAAATGCATCAATTCTCTAGAATTCCTATATTGTAACTTGCCTTTTTTAAAAAGTTAGATGCTGATATAAAGCCTGCTTGTCAACTTAATGAGCTCTATTTTGTGTAGTTATATCTTTCTTTATCCATTCCCATCTTACGGACATTTAGGTTGCTTCCAGCTTGTTGCTATTACTGCAACATATTTTTGTACGCAGGGCTTTTTCCTTCTTTTGTTTTCAATTTTCTCTGTATAAAGGCCCAGCAGTGAATTATATTGGATCAAAGGGTATAGACATTTTCATGGTCTCACACACTTATTAAAAATTTTTTGTACAAAGGTTATAGCAATTTATACTTTTTTCAGTAATTAAAATATAGCTGTTTCACTGAACTCTTTCCAGCACTGAGCATTAACACTTAGTTTGCATTTTGTTTACTAAAAAGTTTGGCCAGTGTGTTGATTCTTTTTTTATCTGTGATAAAGTGAAGCAACTAGAGAACACTTATTTGTTTAAAGTAACTAGTCCTGTTGATATACAAAAAACGCAACAACTTCCCTAGATACTATTTTGAAATGAACACATCAATTTTTTATTTCAATGTAGGTATTCTTCACACTGAAAAACCAAATTAGGATCCAAACTGATTTTATATATGTCTCTCTCTCTCAATGCAAGCAATATTGAACTTCTTTTTCTCTGCAAAAATGCCAAGTTAGTCTCTTTATAAAAAGCAGTTAAAATCTGAAGACATTTATGTTACTTCCTTTGCCAGCTCCAACTCTGCCTTATTTAAATCTTTCCATTTCATGGGAAACATTAATTCTATCTATGGCAAAGCCACTTGGTTTGTTAGCAGACTCTGATTTGCTGTCATCAGGCTGTGAGATGATTTTTTTGTGTGCATCATTTTTTTCTTGACCAGCTTTTTGAAAATTAAGAAATGGATAGTCAGGTTTTCTTCAAGTTCTCAAGTATTGTCAGCATTCGTAAATCCCTTCCACTCTGGGAACTACTACTGCTCCCTGCTTCCCATGGCTTCCACATCAGCCCAGGACTTTTTCTACCACAAATTATTCTGGTTCTGCCTCCTTGACCTTGGTATTCTTAGCATTGTTTTTCCCATTTTTTTTGCAATGGAGTTTTTTTTTGGAGGTCATTAATTTCTGATCACAGACTTGAAGAGCTATGATCCACATTTCCAAGCTGCTTAGGGTCCCTGGTTTGCAGTGTCTCCAGCATTCTGTACCTAGAGCCACATCTAAAGGGCAGTGAATCTCCAGGTTTTTTTTGTTTTGTTTTTTTTGAGTCTCACTCTGTCACCCAGGCTATCTGACAAGTAGAAGACATATCCACTGTAGCAAGGAACACTGTGGAGTATGAGTTAGAGAAAAGAGACTGTGAAGGAAAGGGAACAAACATTTTGTAGACGTTTAGTGTCGAATACATTCTAGGGAGGCAGTTTCTATAGTTTCTTTCGTTTACTTCATGAGGTTTCTTTTTGTTTTTTTTGAAACAGAGTCTTGCTCTGTTGCCCAGGCTGGAGTGCAGTGGCACGATCTCAGCTCACTGCAACCTCCACCTCCCAGGTTCAAGCGATTCTCCTGCCTCAGCCTCCCAAGTAGATGGGACTACAGGCGCACGCCACCATGCCTGGCTAAATTTTTGTATTTTTAGTAGAGACAGGGTTTCACCATATTAGCCAGGCTGGTCTCGAACTCCTGACCTTGTGATCCGCCTGCCCTAGCCTCCCAAAGTGCAGGGATTACAGGCATGAGCCACCACGCCTGGCCAATGTGTTGATTCTTAACATGTATTTTTATTTATAAGAATGGGAGTATAATTTATTTTCAAATGATGATCAATCTCCTGAGTCACATTTTTACCCTCATTTAAACTATTGTCTTTTATATAGACTGTAAGTGCATATAGAGTATGTTTTGCCCTATCTCAATTCCATACCATTCCCAGCATATAATAAACAATTTTAGGGTAGCCCTCCTGCCATTTCTTGTTAGCACTGCTTTCAATATAATGAGGTTATTAACTATTGGCAGAGTATCTGAAATATGAAATAATTTTAGGTTGCTTTGATCTTTAAAGAAGTTGCATTATATATTTTACTATTTAGTTCCACACTGTTGATACAATCATACATATCACACAAAATTTTAGCTTTGAAATGCATTTATTTTTTGATTATTGGAATTCATCCTTCATGAAATTTTTATTGAGTAGTGTGTTTTAAATTAAGCTCCAGAGTATAACTGCAACCAAATAGCAATCCATACAAGTGGTTTTCCATTCAAATTTACAAAAGCATTATTTATTAGTAACAAAAATATAGAAGGAATTCATTTTCCTTTTATCCCAAATTTTTTATTTTTAAAAGACCATTTACTAACATCCTACTGTAGATATTTTGAGAGAGAGATGAAAAGAAGTACCACTTAATGAAGATTATTATAGCCAAATCATCCAGTTAGCCAGGAGTTTTATGATTGAATATTTCAGAGTCTACTGCCGGTTTTAAATATTTTGTTAGCAAATGAATTCATCTGTATGATGATAGACTTACATGTTTTATAGCTGAAAACGTAAGGAGTGACAATAGTACACATGACATTCTTAACAGTTAAAACTGAGTAAGTCCTGTTCATTAGGTAGGTGCCACGTGGAACAAGCTTTCACCTCATCAGTTCATTTTGTTTTCAGAGAAACAGACAGACTAATGACAGATTAATGGGAACATTTTATCAGGTTACCAGTAACTATTCCAAAGGTTTTGAAAAGGATGCTAATAATTAACAATATCTTAAAAGGGTCCAACACTAAGTTGGGACACTACGTCCTAAGGCCAACTCCCTATTCTAAGATCTTCAGAAAAGGTCCAATTTCCCAAAACTCAGGTCCAAGGAGTACATGTTGAGAGTTCTTTCTGAGCACTGCACTGCCAACTTCTAAAGCAACCACCTAAAACTTCACTCCATAATGAGGAAAGCTTTCATCCTCTTTTTGGTAGTTTTAGCTTTATTTTGAAAAAATACATGTGTGCTATCAACTTTGGGCAGATACAAAGGAAATCATTTAACCTGGTTTTATTTAACTATATTGCCTTATGTGGGTTATTCTGTATACTATTTAATTCATAGAGACTGGAAAAGGAAAGGGAAACCTGAGGAACTTGGAAATACGGCAATTATTCCACAGCAATGTGTCTACGCAAAAGATTAGCCGTAATGTTAAAAAAGTAGATTAGAGCACAAATGCACAATCACCTGGAATCTTGGAAAAGTTTTTCTTCAGTATACATGGTTTCATAAAATAATTAAAGTTATTTAAGAGAATGAAGGGTCTTGGAAAAAAATGTCAATTTTTGAAAGCTTTAAGAATTGATTAAATTGAGAAATTAACATATGGCTGACTTTCAGGACTACTTAATTATTTTAAATGACTAATTATGGTTAGTTTTAAAATACGGCAGTGCAAATTAAAAATTCAAATATGTAACAAAGATCTCTCTTCAGTTCTTATTTTAAAAAAGATAAAACTAAGTACATAAAATTATATTGCAAATATTACAGGAACTGCAACTATCCTCAGAGATTACTTTTTTAAATATAGGTAACATGCCTTTAGCCACATAACTAATATGAAAAACAACTAGAACACATATAACAAGTGATTTTTCTGCCAATAAAGACCAAAAGACTATTTACTGTAAAATATTATTTTGTGCAAAAATTAAAGAGACAATTTGAAGAGAGTAGAAAAGATGACTCATTAGCAGTATCCACTGTTAGGAACTGAGTTTTGCCCCCAAAACCTATGTCATTGTCAGCAATGGGAGTGGTGACAACTGGTGACATAAGAATAAACATTTTATATTACTGTGAAATAGATAATGCCAGATCATTTCAATATAATGAAAAGCGAAATTTACTCTTTTTAGTTTTTTTATTTTTCAACCTAAAATGGCAAAGAGAACATTTACTTTTCATCACTTAACAAGGACACACCCAGGAAATTTGATTTTCGCAACATTAGGAGGACGAGGAGAGTGCAGATGGAAGACTTAAAAAACAAAAAACAAGAGAAAACACGAAAGGCGTACGTAAAACATTTTTTAGTACAAATAATGAAAAATGACTTCATGACACATTTTCCAAGAAAAGTTATTTTTACATATTTTGAAATGCTGTAAAAACCAGGTATATTGAAAGGGGTTATTTATAGGTTAAAAATAAAGCCATTGATGAGTGATAATCAGTTTTCACAGAGTTCACGCAATTATCTTAGCTGGAAAGCTACTGTCCCAAGTGACAAAATTTATGCTCTGACACATGATTCCATGTTAAATCATTTTGTAAAAGAAATGATTTTGTATGTGGGACTGACAGCTCCTGAGAAAGTGCTATACAAACTGAAGGTTATAGAAATTTTGAAGTGATAATCTTAAAATACCATACAAAAATGTGTAAACAAAAGGATGGTTTAGAGTTGCAGGGCATTATAAAACCTGTAATTTTAGTTAAGACTAATAATAATATTTTTGTGCACTTTAAAAATGGTTAGTATAATCTTGTAAGTTCAAAGCTGGGTTCTCAGTGAGCAGCAAAAGGTGTTAGATGCATCAGCACACTTCACAGGACCTCCTGAATGATTGTAGATGTGCTGTGTACCTTCTTAAGGGGCTTTGGCTGACCTTATGACAGCAGGAGCTCACCATGCTTATGGGTGACTATACCAAAAAGATTTTGCAATAAGGCTCACCTGGGAGATGCTCTAGCATTCAAATTCCTATACTCCTCTTTTATCTATGCTGTCAGACGGAAACTGCTTACTGCTTTTAAAAGATATAATAAACTATAAATTCTGATAGTAAAGCACTATAAAAATTAGGTATGATATTTTTGGCACAAAGCGCTTTTTAAACCCAAGCTCATTTTGCAAAATATATGTCTAGAGTTTCTCATTTGAAAATAAAAACATATACACAATATGTAAATGGTTTTATAAGTGAATTAGAATGTACATTTTCTTAAATACTGCACATACCTTCAGCTTACTCCAGTACCAGACATCTGCATGCACAACTCACATTCTACATTACACAGATATTGCACAAGTACCAATGCCGAAATACTAATGCAGGCTGGCAAGATTTAGGGTTTACCTTTCAGTATTATTTTGTGAAAGTATTCAGATTCAATATTATTTCGCAGAAAAGCTAGATGATCAATTTCAGGAAAAGAATGCTATCCTTCCTTGATCCATAGTATTAAAATCTGTAACAATATATTTAGGCATTTCATTTATGTTTTCCAGCATTTAAAATTCAGC